TAACATTAAGACATGTTAAATGTGCTTTGGAGGTGCTCACACTTGCAGACGATCAGTTAAGTGTGTTTAATTTGCTTCTTACTTTCTTAATTACTATGGAAACAATAAGGGTCGTCTTAGTTTTTCTGCATAGAGTAATGTGTGATTTAAGCGGTCTCTTGGGTGTTTTTTCAGCAATACCTTCACTGCATTTTACTGATTTTGTGGCATGGAACGATTTACCAAAATAAGACTTGGCACTCCAATGTGAATTTTGCACTTGTATGTCAAAAAAAACAAAGACATAAACTTGAATGGCTTCACTTCAAAGAGCACAACAGGGGGGAGAACTTTATGTGCAGACCAAAACAAAGTAGTTATTGAGTCAAAGTCGGGCATTTAACACAAGTCTAATTGATTTATCCTTCACGTTGTCTGGAGTCTCAACCTTTTTCCAATCAGTTTTGCATCGGGCTCTTAATCTAGCATTAAACCCTTAATGCTCCGGAAAAACTGAGGTGGCTCAGTTAATATTAACATGTGCTTTCCTGATTTGGGGGAGGAGCGTCATGTTCTTATCTGTATTTTTTACACTCACAGCATTAATTTTTTTTTTTTTTCTTCGTATTTTCTGTGTAACTTCACCACAGCAGCTAAAAACCAAGGAATGGCTGTGAAGTTAATGTCTTTTTTTTTTTTACACTATATGTTATTTGTAATAGAATTTGTATGTTTATATCATAGAAGAAGTTTGGTTTCAATCAGCAAAGCTTTGAAAGTGTCACACCAGTGATCGGACGCTGTTCCTCTGTCCTCCAGCTTCATGTTTTTGTGCACTTAAACTGGATTTAATCGATAACATAAGGTGCCTTGTGACTTTGTCATCATAGCTTTTGTAAGGTTTATCCCACCAGTTGAAAGTGCACTGACTATGCCAGGTGTCAACTCAGGTGTAAATTTTATTGCTGTGAGCTGACTTAAAAAAAAATTCTCATTTCACCATGTTGAGTTTCTTCAAAGGGCATCGAAAGAGCTGATTTTTACCCCAGACTTTATGGTGTTCTCGTTTTTCACACGCCAAACATGAAATGTCATGTTTTCTGTAATTTTTACTTTATTTTTATTTTAATAATTGAAGCTTCAGGGCCACTAGCAGCAGGATTTCTTGGGGAATGGTGTTGTAGGACTTGTCTGTCTTCTAACCTTGCTTTAACACTAACTTTAGCAGATGATTTTAGGTTTACTTGCAGTAAATCTGTGCTTAATATATGGTTTAGATATGATTCTGTTTGTCTGGCTGTCCTCTTAATTATTGCAGTTTGCTGGAGAGGTTTCTTTCCTTTTTTTTTTTAAATAAGAGAAAAAGAAAAATGCATAAATGCAACTTGACTCCCTCCTTGTCACGATCAGAGCGAGATTGTCGTCATTACTCCTCTAATAACAAGTCAGCTTTGTCTACCAAAGGAATATTTGTTACAATGGTTGTGTAGTTCTCTTTAATGTAATCATCATGATAAAGACTGACATCTTTCAAGGGGAACAAAAACAAGAATGTTTTTGGCAAAAGTACGGTTGGTCTTCCTAACTTTTATGTTGCTCAAAGTCAAAACAAATCACCTTCTCCATCAACACCTCTGTTTCTCTTCTGCTAAACGAAAGCAACGGTAACAGTAACTATTTTTTTAAAAAAAAAATACCAGTCCCCTCTCTTTGCTGATTTCCCTTTAAGGGAGAATGACTGTGCCTTTTGCCAGAAAGCTGCTGTTGCTTTTCCCCTTTTTAATTGTTGTTGTTGTTGTTTTTCCTCTCCAGAGCTCAGGGTGTGATTGTGTAGTGCAATATCTGAGAGATGCCCCGTGCTTCACACCTTCATGTTTGTAGCTAGGGAGCGATCAGAAGCTTGGATGGATGGCTTTCGGTGTTTGCACCTGGTCATAGATTGAAGTAAAAAAAACAGTCAATGACTGCCCAAGATCCTGGGAAAACATGCTATGTTAGAAATAATAAACAGGGCTACCGCATATTTCTGTTGCTTCATGGCTGATATTTGCAGGAATCGAGATAATGCAAGAGAAAATCCCCATGTACCTCAGGGGTCTTTTAATCTTTAACATCTACTCCAGAAATGCCCCCACTCACCCCCCAAATCCATGTTTTATTTTTTTAATGTCCAGTAGATGAATGTCATGTGTTCTCAATACTGTTCATCCTGTTTTTTTTTTTTTTTTAACTCAGCACTGTAAACATTCCAGTTTAACCCATCATCCCTTCTACAGTCAACGAAAACCACCTTTGAAAATCTGTCATTGTGTTTGCATCCCTTTCAGCATCTAAATTATATTAAATATATATCAACTGTATATTTGACCCATTTTTTAAAATAAACCCAACCAAAAAAACAAAATGGTGTGGTTAGTTTGTGTATCTGATGTTTGTCTTTGTTCATCACAAAGAACAAAGTTGGCAAATGCGACATGGTGGCGTTTCTCTGTTTCACAGCTGTAAGATACAGAGATTACAGTGACTACACTCACCTGACACTTTGTTGGGTACATCTGTTCACATGGCAACAACCAAGTGCATTTAGACACGGTCAAGATGACCTGTTAAAACGCACAGACTGTCACAAAAAATACAATTTGTTCTCATTTATTTACTTGAATCAATTAAAAATGGTAATGAAAATGCAGTTCGACACCCATTTTCAAAGCAACTGTGGGGTGGCTCAAGACTTTTGCACAGTACTGTACCCTACTACTTGAATGCCATGTAAAGACCTGAAGCTTTGTAAATCTAA